TGTAAAGAAGATTGAAACATGGAAGAGAACACTCACTTGAGAGAATAAATATTTATGAAAACAGAATTGCAAGGAACATCTAGGCAAAGTGTAAAAGTAAATGACCAAAGAAGTTAGTGTATTGGGTGGTTCAGTGTTATGGAAGCTGAGGAAGGAGAGAGTTGCACAGAAAGAGGTAGATGTGAATTGTGCAAGGAGGTAAGAAGGCTTCCCTGTGACCTGAAGACTGTGCTTACATAAAAGCAGAAAGGTGGTTCCCAGAAGCTGGGGGAAGGGGGAAATGCGGAGTTGCTGTGCAACGGGTATTAAGTTTCAGTTACACAAGACGAAAAGTCCTAGGCCAGGCGTGGTGGTTCACGCCTGTAATCCTAACACTCTGGGAGGCCAAGGCGGGCGGATCATTTGAGCTCAGGAGTTCCAGACTAGCCTGAGCAAGAGTGAGACCCCTATCTCTACTAAAAAAAATAGACAGAAATTATCTGGACAACTAAAAATATATATATAAAAAAATTAGCCGGGCATGGTGGCACATGCTTGTAGTCCCAGCTACTTGGGAGGCTGAGGCAGGAGGATCGCTTGAGCCCAGGAGTTTGAGGTTGCTGTGAGCTAGGCTGACGCCATGACACTCCAGCCCAGGTGACAGAGTGAGACTCTGTCTCAAAAAAAAAAAAAAAGATGAAAAGTCCTAGAGATCTGCTGTATTGTGCCTATAGTTAACAATACTGTGTTGTACATTTAATTTGTTAAGAGGGTAGATCTCATGTTATGTGGGTATTTTTACCACAATAAAAACAAAGGAAGGAGGAAAAGAGGGAGGGAGAGGGAGGGAGGGAAGGAAGGAGTGTGCCCTTGATACTTTTCTGGAGAGTATAATATAAGCAGAGGTTGAAACAAGGATCTTTGGAACTGCCTGGGTTATTTTATTTTTTTCCTTTTCCTTTCCTGATTTATCCCTATCTGGGTCTACTCTTGATTTGGTTGAAAGCCTTTCTGCAATTACACTAAAATACTTGGTTCTGAGATTGAGTAGGTGTGACCATCAAACCAGTAACTCTGCTGAGCAGTCATTGAACATTTCAAAAGGTATAAAAATGTCTGAAAATGTGATTTTGGAAAACAAAACCAAATGAGGAGTCCAGAGCAGTCCAGTAGAACTCTTCTGCAGTGGCAAATGGAAATGTCTGCACCATCTTATACGGTAGCCACGGCCATATGTTGTTATTGAGTACCTGAAACGTGACTAGTGTGGCTGAGAAACCATGTTTTTAACTTTATTTAATTTTAATTAATTTAAATTTAGCCATACATGTCTGATGGTTACCCTATTGGACAACATAAGTCCAGAGATTCCAGAATAGTTAATCAGAGTATGAATTAAGTAGAAACTCGGTCCTTGAGCATTTTGGATTTGAAAGAAAAGCTGAGGAAAGGTATTACAATTTGGTCAGAGTTCCAGCTTATGGTTTTAAAATGAATCTTTTGGATTTAGTGCTGTCCTACTTCTTTTCTATTTGATCTTATTGACTTTAAAAACATACAGAGATATGAAGTGGATAGAAAAAAAATTTCATAGTAAAATGAGCTTATAGTAGAATTTGTGAACTGCTCTGATCATTTTTAAAATTATTTTTCACCTTCATATAAATATACAAAGCAGCCAACTAAGTAGTAGAGTCCTCACCAGAAAAGATGTTCCTTATACAGAAGTAGGAACTGGGCTGATCATTTCAAAAGCGATGACATTTTAAAAATAAGTTGAAGAAGGATACATGATGGCAAAACTTAAGTTATGTTAGTTTTCCCTTATGTTCAGTATGTAAACTCATCTCTTAAGTCAGATTATATCATCTCTCCCCTGGACTGTTACCATAACTTCCCAGTTGTTTTTTCTTTTTTTCCTTCTCAGGCCCAGGGGCTATATCACCCCCAGAATTATATTATTAAAAATACAGATCTGACACATCTCCACTTAAGAACTTTGTATACAAATAAGCATACAATAAAAAGTTTCAAACATGTCTTTGGATGCTGTTTTTCATTATTGACATTAGGAGGTTAATGGACATTTTGTCAACTGATGAAAATAAAATTGATAAAACATTTTTTTCATTAGCATATTGGCAGTAAACAACAAGTTTAAAGATATTTATAACCCAAACCCCAGTAAATCCATCTCTGGGAATCTTCCTAAAGAAACTATCTTAAATACCACAGAATATGTCCCAAATCTCTTTATGTGAAGATGTTCATCATAGCATTATTTATAACAGTGAAAACTATACATAACTTAAATGTTCAACAATCATGAAATGACTCAGTAAATGATAGTTGCTAAAATGTTGTCTTCCCACATCATGTTTTGTATGCATCTGCTTCAGTATGTATCCTATGGTATAGTTAGTTGCATGCATTTCTGCCAATCTAATCCTTACTTGTGTCCCCACTGTGCCTAGCACATTGCGAATGCTTAATGAATGTTTGTTAAATAAATGAACAAATCAAGGTTGACACAAGCGAAACTGAGTTTAAGTTGCTTCTTATAAATTGGTAAAAACTAAGAGGTGTTATATTCATTTAAGTACAGTAGCTTCCATCTCCATTCATAATGAAAAGGTGTTTCAAATTTAAACCTCTCCTGTCCCAGAAAATATTTTTGTAGATAAAATAATAATATCAAACATTTAAAGGTAAATTCAGTTGTGAATTATATCAAATTATGACTTTATAAATAAATCATATTAGTAATAAATCATTCTGTATCTCCTGGTACAATTTTTTTCTTAATCCTGCTCCTTGGATTGAAAGCCTGGTATATTGTAATGTAAAAGATTTTATGTTTTTTTCTCCCCTTTGTTTTCTCTAAATTTTATGTATTTTTATTAAAATTTCCACTTATCTGCCTATTATATTTTTCTCCTCAAACCTATGATTTTTCCTCATAATCAGTTTCTCTAGCTGTTTTGTTTATGTGAAGTGATCAATTGTCCAGAAAATTGCTTTTCACATACTAGTTCATTTAGATATACAGAAAATGTTTGAAATTTTGTTTTCTGTAATTTACAGAAGCCAGCAAAGGGAAGAAATCAGTTATTTCCTTTTATTTTTCTGGATAAATCTTGATTATGGTTGATGTAGACAAGAAATACCAATATTGGAATTCTGAATTAATCCTTTTAACATGCAGTCCTCTAGTGTGCTTGACCAGTATTGAGACCTATTTGTCATTACCTTATAAACATAACCTAGATGCCTAGTTATTTCCAAAACTTTACCAGTTTTAAGGTTATCATTATTTAATATATTTATTTCAATAGAACCCTGAAAATTGATGAAGACTGTGTGTTAAGCTCATGAGGGCAGGGATGATATCTGATTCTCAAAGTCTATCACAGTATCTGATTAGGCTCTCAAGAAATCGTTGTTGGATGCCTGACTGCCTACTTTTGCCATGTTGTTTTGTAACTGTAAAGAACTTTGTAAAGTTTGCAAAATAAAAGATTTAAGGGATTTAAGTAATTACTTTGTGTTGTAGGCTTTTTGATAGTAAGGAACAAGGAAGACTGAGGTTACCTACTAATGGACGGAGAAGGGGGAGAGGAGGAGAGAAGGAGAGAAAGAGTTTTCCTCATAGAAGCAGGTATCTGTTGATACCTACCTGGTGCTTCTTCGTTGTTTCCTCTTTGCCTCTACTTCTGAGTGGTATTTTGTTTCTCTTCTCTCTGTCAGATTGTCTTACTTTCCTATAAGTTTAGTACATAGTCCTGAGAGAACCTTACTGGTCCAGCTAGTTACCCTCAACTCTATCTGGGCATAACTTGTACATTAAGGCACCCATGGGCTCCGAACTACCTTCTATTTTGACTAGTTGGAATCTTGGTTTAGTCAGCTGTGGCCAGGAGACAGAGTCATATGAAATAGATATTGCTATTCTCAAATAAGGAACCAGCTAGAGTTCCTTTCTTGGCTTAGAAGTTTCCTCAAGAGGATTTGGTGGCACCTAAAGCTTAACACACTCTTTTCCAATATACATGTGTTCCCATGTTCCTTAATTTTCTCACTCAGTCTGTATAATCTTTATAAACCATGACATAGTCCATAGTTTTATGTTATGGCTTTGTAGGGCTTTTTTTTCCCCAGAAATTTAGACTATTACTTTTATTATAGAAAATTAAGTGGCCATTTCTCCCATCTCTTCTCCTGGCTAAGAAAGAGTTCAAAGCATGAGAGCCTCCTTCTGACTATCCCTGCTCCTAAACAGGCCTATGGAGAAGGAAGGAAGCTATTCCCTGATAGGAATTTTTGTGGCTTAAATCACACTTGAATAAGGACACTGAAATATTTTTCAATCAAAAAAATTTAATGAAAAATTTCAAAACTTAACAAAATACAGCATTCAGACATACCATTTGTGATCTACCTGTTGTTAACACTAACAGAATAGCAAGTGGAACAATTGGAATTACTGTATTCTTCATTTCTTAAACTAACCTCTACTTCTCCAATTTTTACATTTTTCTTAAAGTTTCAGAACTTGATCTTAGATATTTTTATGCTATTTTATTTAGAAAAAAGCCTACAGGCCAGGTAATTGCTTTGGAGAGTTATATGTAATTCTCTTTGAATTTAACCTTTCCTTTAGCTTTCAAATTGAAAGGGTAGTAATATACTATTAGATACAATTTTATTACAGAGTTTAATGGTTTTCAGTCATGTCAACTGTAGGCTACAGATCTATGGTGATACAGAATATGAACTCGGGGAAATGACATTTTGAGGAACCTGTGGTGCACCTAGCACTATGGGAGACGTTTGACCCATTATCTCATCCATACAATGCAGTTATAGGTTTTCTTTAATCTGAGACTCAACATTTACTCTGGTTTCACACGATTCTATTTATTTATTTATTCTGTTTATTATAGTACCTTAGCAATATATGTATACAAATTTAACTTTTCTTAGAAAGTCATTAATACATAAAACTTTTCTTTTAAAAATAGGATAAAAGAATCAGAGTATCTCAACCCTTGACAAGAGGACCAAGTGCCTTTATTCCAGAGAAGGAAGTAAGTTCATCTGTCTTAAAGTATATAAAGTCTGATTTTAAAAAATTACTTAATTGTATCAAAGAATATCTCCATTTTTAATATGGAAGTAAAAAATGTATTTTGCTCTTGGGTTTCTTATTCACATGTCAGAAAATCATGGAGATAATTTCTTTTCAGCTTCACTTACAAGTTTGACTGTATAATAATCTATCTTCTTATTTTAAAGTTAGATAGTACTACAAGGTTAGAAAATATAAATTTAACCATATTTGATTTCATATATAACTTTTCTGAACAAAGTGGCTAAGAATAATAAAATTTAATACTAACCTGAAGATTTTAAGTTTTAAAATGGCCACTGTTTCATGGTGATTATAGGTTACATAAATGTTAAGAAAAGATATTTTGAAATGAAAAAGTAAGTGTCCCCACTAAACTTATCAGATAAAACATGATGTTACATAAGTAGTAGTTACTCTTTTCACTTGGTTCTAAGTTTTTGATTGGACAGGATTTCACAGAATCTCCAGTACAATTCTGCACCTTTTGTGAGGATGGGGAGTCAAGATGGTAAATGCCAGGAAAGAGAGGTTATAAAATGACACAAAGGACATTATAATCAGTACAAGGTTTGTGCCTGTTTTGTGGGTACACATCTCTTTGAAGGATCACAGCAATGTGTAAGACCTTCTTAGATTCCTGGATGCCTCTCAGAAATATTTGGGCTAAGAAAAATTTAAAAACCACTAATTGAGTCTTTCTTTACTTTAAGGAGTTATTAGCTCATATTGTATACAGTTTTACTATGTATTGATTCACTATTTACTGCAAAAATATCATTTATCTTACAGTAGCAGGATTATTCCTATAGTGTTCTAAAATTAGTCAACAAATATTTATAGATCATCTATTTTGTGCCGGGCATTGTCTTAAAAGAAGGGACTGATAGAATTAGAATAATACCAGATCATTGCCAGAGTCAGCAGTTCTTTTTATATTCATATCACTTTTTTAGTGACCTTACCATTTAAGTGAAAATCCAAGAGACAGTAATATTTCAGGAGCTCAGCGGCAATAGCTGATCTGGGTGATAACCACGCATTAGAGAATCTGCAGTGCTTATGCCTCTTTCCTTCATATAGCTTGGGGCTGCTCTTCATTGCCTAGTATTCATAAAGACTTTCTGAAGCACAGTCATTTTCACTGTATATATTTGAAGATAATCTGGTTTTCAGGATCTGTTGCATCATATGAATCTATTAATGTACCCTAGGCATCCAATTAGACACAAGAAACTTCTGCTGGGGAAAGCAAAACAATAATAACAAATATTCTGTCCCTAATTGTATGTGGTTCATCTGGATCCTTTTATATTTTTAACTATCATCTTCGTCTCTGTAGTTGATGACATGGGGGAAAATGGGCAAATACTTGGCTCTATAATGAGTTACACCATTGTAATTAACATTTCCTCACAATTTACACTTTTCAAACATATTTTCTTTGGGATTAAACTTCCCTAAATCAGTAGTGCCTTTGTAAAATGTGTACTTATTTTTCAGAAAAGACTGTGAAGGGAGCTCTGAAGAGTAAACAGAGTTTCTTAATAGCACTGTGGATCTTTGGAAAGACCATTAGTCTGGCCTTTAGGAGATCTGGATTCTAGACTAGGCTCTGCTATTAATAAGTTGCATGAGCTTGAATTTAATTTCGAATCTATTTCCTTATCTCTAAATAAAAAAACATATTCTTCTTAAGTCTAGAACTCTAATTCTAAAATACAAATAAATAATGAACCAGTACTAGAATTATGCATTTCATGTCCATTAATACCCACAGAGTTGGGTCCTTCTAGAAGGTGCTAATAAGCTCTTAACACCTTCAGAGCCAGTTCTTGGTGTGATGCCCAAACTATTATTGTGTATAAAAGCTATATTTAAATAATCTATTTTTGAAAAAGTTCTTTTGATTCCCTAGGGTGGAAGATGTCCATTTTAATAACTTTCCTTGTTTTTAGTAATTAATATGATAGGCTCAAAATAGAAATGACAATCTTCTAGTGTCCTTATTAATTTTTCAATTAACACTTTCTCACAAATTATCATATATCCCTGTGTCCCTAAAAAGACTTCAGAAAGCTTTTTTTTTATGTTGAATAACAAAAGCAAACAAAAGATCAGACTGAAAATATTTGTCTAAAAATTATGTGGTCAGTTACCTTCATAGGCTGATGAGCTGAAATTGTAAATGTATGTAATCAAACGCTGCTGCTTTTGCCTCACCACAAATTAGTGTGAAAATGGTCAGGCAAGTGGGCCCTGAAGAATCTGCCTAGTGTGCCTGGAAACACAGATGGAAGCTTCTTTTCTTCAATTTCATAGTTGTGTGTATAATGTTTGATAATTTAACATTTGTTGTTTAATAAATTGTGGTACCGGAGCCAAAAATGAATGGTACTTTCTTTTTTTATTTCTGTTCCTAGTATGAGCAACTGCATAATTTCAGTGTCTGTTAATATCAAATGAATATTCATTTGCTTCAATAGCGGCATGATTTGTGTAAACCAAGTGTGTATTTATGTTTCAATAGTTATTTTGTTTTGTGTTTCTTGGTTATAAGGTTGTCCAAGCAAACACAGTGGATGAACGTACTAACTTTCTTGTGGAAGAATATTCTACATCTGGTCGTCTGGACAACATCACACAGGTCATGAGTTTACACACTCAGTACCTGGAGTCTTTCTTGCGGAGCCAGTTTTACATGTTGCGCATGGATGGTCCCCTTCCTTTACCATATAGGCACTACATTGCAATAATGGTAGGTGCTTAATTTCCTATTTTTTCCTATTTTCAGATAACATCTTCCTCACTTGTTCTTTCTCCCTTCTAAAATTAGAGTGAGTGTGTGTGTGTGTGTGTGTGTGTACATGTGTGTGTCTATAGAGCTACATGTAATTTTATAAACATAAGAATTGAGGAAACTGGTGGCCTTTTGGATACCAAGTCCCTTGGGTACATTTAGAATGCTTTAAGCCACTTAATGCACCAAATGTTTCTCACTGAATTTTTAGTAAAAATTTTATGATTAAAGATGCTTGTAGGGTCCAAAATAATATCCTACCAGTTTTGGTTTTGCTCTTGATGTCTTGTTTTTATTACTAATAAAAACACAAGTTGTTTATGACATTACTTAAGTCATTTTATACTTGAAGGATATTACTAATTTGGTGGAATAAGAGGACAGTATCAATCATCACTAATGGAGAATCTGTATAAGAGAAGAATTCTTAAATGAATTTTAACACTTTTAAATATAGTTCTTATTACAAACTGGTTATTATAATATTATTGGCAGGTGTTAGGGGTTAGGGAGAAGAATTATAAATTGGGATGATAGGCAGCAGGATAGAGAGGGATAGAAAGAAATTGCTACCATTGACTGTTAATGGAGAAAAAGAAAAACAAGAGCATGATGCAAGTGCTGTATGTATTTAGAGAGGTTAGGGGAACAGCTGGGCTGACAGCTAGCAGAGCCAGCCAGGAGTTAGCAGATTAGATTTTGCCACATTTGCTTTGATTATCTTTTTAATATTCTCACTCAAGTTTCACACGACAATAACAAAAAGCAGCATTCTGTGTTTTATTGAATGAGGAACTTGACTAAGACTATAATTTTAGCTTATGGTTTTGATGACAGTAAGGCTGAAAGCAGACTTTGAATGCTCACAAGCTAAGAGAGAAACAAGACAACAAGACGTAGAGAACAGAAACAATAAAACAATACTATTTTGCTGAGAACAGCCCTGAGGAAAAGAGAGGTCAAAAGTCTGCTTTGCATGGATTTATGAAATTGTCAGCATGAAGGCTGATTCTGACTGCATAGGAAGGAAAGGATCAGTGAGCTTCAGTGTCAGTTGAGTGGGATGATGTACACAAATGTGACTAAAATCAGAGTTATCTTAAAGGATGTAAGAGAAGTACCCAAATTAGCATGAATTCTGAATTGTTAGAGTATAAAGTTAATGAGATCTTATTATGTTTTAAAGAGGATACAGTAGATATATTTACCATAGTGAAATGGACATGAATTTCCTTGACTGGAAAGTGGTCTCTGGCTTAATCTATATACCAACGTCTAGACGAGGAAGTAATTGGCTTTAGGTGACAATTATTTGCTTGTACAAGTATTAGCCTCATGTATTGATTCAAGAATCTATTGCAGCATTATGATAGATATTTTAGAAAGAAGATTCTATAAGAAAAGAGTTACTGGCTATAAAACTTACCAACTCCACCTGAATTATTTGTTTAGAAATAGTGGAATGAGACTTTCCCATGATTGTTTTATCAACGAATTATTTTCTTTGTGCTTTAGGCTGCAGCTAGACATCGCTGTTCTTATTTAATAAACATGCATGTGGATGAATTTTTGAAGACTGGAGGTATTCCTGAGTGGTTGAATGGTTTGGAATATGTGCCACAAAGACTGAAAAATCTTAATGAAATAAATAAGCTGCTAGCACATCGACCCTGGCTGATCACGAAAGAGCACATTCAGGTACTGAGGATTTCTTTGAAATATAGAGGACTTTGCTTAGGACTTAATTTTAAACACTTGCACATTAAAAACTTGAAAAACAAAAACTATTATATTAATATGTGTAGAAAAGATAAATGTAGAAAGTCAGTGGGTTTAATATATGTACAAACAAATAATTCTCCTATTTAAGTAATCACTAATTAGCTTGTATAAGTACTTTGGTGAATGGCTATGAGAAAAGTTGGCTTCTCTTTTTAAGCAGTAGGTAGAACAAAGAAAATAACACTAACATGATAGTGAGAGCTAACATTCATGTAGAGACTAGAGCCTGCATTCTAGTCTCTACTCTGTTACAGGTTTGTGCCCTTTAGTAAATTAACTTCTATGGGCCTCAGCTCCACCATCTGTGGAATGAGAGGGCTAGATTAATGAGTTCTAAACTTCTTTCTAGTTTCTAACATTTCATAATGTTAAGATTCCCCAAAAACGATTTTGCAAATAAAAAAGTGATTTGCCAGCTGGTGTGTGAATGCCAAATGCCTTTAGAAACTAGAGCTTAGATGAGAAATAGAGTTGTGATTGACTTAGAGTATTTGTATTTCGAAAGGAGCTTCCATCAAAGGCCTATAGGACGAGATCATTATATAATATGCTTAGCACTATGCTTGGCACATGGTAACTAATCAATAAATAGGAGCTATCATCTAAATTATTATCAGTAGGATCCTTTGTTATTTAAAATCTCTGTTTCTAATGCACAGAAATGTCCTCGTCTTAATTACTTTGTGCCAGATCCTTTGGTGGGTAAAGATGAAGACCCTAACCCTTGGATGTGCTTGGAGTCTAGGGGAGGAGATGCAGGGGGTAATGATAATGATCACGGCACAGTAGTGTATGAATGTGTGAATAAAGAGAATGGATCAGAAGGTTTGTCGAAAGAGGTGACATTTGAGGTTGGTCTTGATGAATAAGTGGGAGTTTTCAAGTAGAGGAGAGCATTTACAGAAAGAATAGAGCACGTAATGATATATATTGGAAGAATAGCTAACAGCTTCAGGTTATTGAAGTGGAGGAATGTTTATATAAGGTGGGGGATGGGAAATGGGAAGAAATGGAAATGGCAAGAATCATATTGAATGACCCAATCAATACCGTATTAAAGAATTTGTTGGCGGGGTACGATGGTTCATGCCTGTAATCCCAGCACTCTGGGAGGCTGAGGCGAGAGGATTGTTTGAGGCCAGGAGTTGAAGACCAGCCTAAGCAAGAGCGAGACTCCATCTCTACAAAATATAGAAAATTAGCCAGGTGGGTGATTCATGCCTGTAGTCCCAGCTACTCTGGAGGCTGAGGCAGGAGAATTGCTTGAGCCCAGGAGTTTGAGGTTGCAGTGAGCTATGATGCCACTGTACTTTAGCCCGGGCAACAGAGCAAGACTGTCTCAAAAAAAAAAAAAAAAAGAATTTGTATTTTATTCTCAGAAAGTTATGGTCTCCAAAGTTATGTTATGGTACCTCAGGGGGTACACAAGACAGTCTTTGAAAATATTAGTAAATGCAGGGGGGATGTATATAGTCTTAACCTTTTAAATTTCTATATTTGTGTATTTTATATCATATTTATATAACTATTCTGTATAAAATATATTTTATAAGTATATATTAATTTATAAATAAATATATATACTATAAGGGTTTGGTCCCCCAGTTGTTACTGTTGGAAGTATATGTGATCAAAAGAGCTTGGAGATGAATATGATAGAGAATCAAGAATCATTAAAGGCTTTTGTGCTGAGTTGTAATATAAATATATTTGGCGATGGAGAAGATAAATCACAAATTGTACAGACTAGAAGCAGGGAGGCCAGGCATAGTACTGCACCTGAGAGATGATGTTTTTAAAAAAAGTATGGGGAGATAAAGTGAAGAAGTGAGACTGTAGTACTTACAGTGCATGAGAATAAGCAGGACTTGGTGACTGGCAGGATGTAAGGATGGAAAAAGGGGATGAAACAGGGGAATGACTGAAGTTTCCTTCTTCATGGCGTAAGCATCGCATGCTGCCAACAGATTATGACATCCACAAAGTGATGTCCCATTGCTGAAGGAAATACAGGTCTGTAAGTCAAAATGGAGGTGGGATGGGGGAAGAAATAAAATTGAATAGTTATTTACAGATAAGCAAAGGTCAAATTGAAGGAATGAATGTTCTATCCAGGCAGATATTGTACAAGGAAAGAAGATAATGGATGAATACAGTAATAGCAAAAGATACATCTCAGGGTAGAAAATGTAGTTTTCCACCAACCTTTTGCAAAGTCAAAGGAGATTAATGTCAAGAAGGGAGGAAGTGAACAATGTAAATTCTGCAGAGATTGAATAGGATAAGGAATATGTGACCTTAGTGAATGTAGCTTCAAGAGTTTATTTGAAAAAGAAACCAGATCATAATGAATAAAAAAAAGTAGAAATGAATGAGAGGTGAGAAATTAGAGACGATGAATGTTGTCTGTCCTTTCAGATTTAATGATAACCGTGGAAAGATTGGCAAAGGCATTATAAATTCTACCAAATCTTTTGGAAATCTCTCTGGCAGTATTATCAAACATCATAAAAATATTAATATTCTTTGCCCTAAAAATCCTATTAGGAAATGTTTCTAAAATATGAACAAAGCTATAGCATGAAGATGCTATTTATAGTAGCAGATAAAAAAATTTAGACGTATGTGTGTCTGACAGTATGGGAAGGAGAAGTAGTTATATACATCCATTGATAAACAATAAAGGCCTATGATTAAAAATTAACATCACAGTGTAGCCTCATGAGAAATGAACCTTGTCAAAATGTCAAATTTGAAAAGCAGAAAAATAGATGTATGTGATTATAACTGTATAATAATGCTTATAAAAATAAAGGAAAATATGTAAAAGTTATATTAGGGTGGTAGAATTTGACTTTTTTTCCCTTTCTTTTCCCTGGGCTTTTGGTAATAAATTATATATGTGTGTGTGTATGTGTAATAGTTTAATAATGGAAAGTAAAGCAAAAGAAAGCAGGTTTTTTTGTTTGTTTCGTTTTACCCTTTAAGTAGGTCAAATGAAAGTTTTAGATTTAGGGGGAGGGGAAGGAGAGTGATGAGATCCTTGCCTACCCCAAACCTCCCTCTACACCTGAAAGAGAGGCTGGGAGAGAGAGAGAGAGAGAGAATACCTATAGGCAAGAACCCCTGAGGGATTAATTGGTGGAATTCACTCTTGGAGAAAGTGGGTGGAAGAATTACTGATTTTAATGGCTTCATTTGTGATTCTATCATTTCAGCTGGAAGATCAGGTAAAATAGCATATGAAAAAGAGCTTTGACATTTTAAAAATTCTTATTTAAATGAGAGGTAGTCTTCTATGGTTTTGTCATCTGCTGCAGGATTTTTCTCCCTCAGAAGGTATATAAAGGATATCTAAAAGTTAAATTGCCGAATTGGATTTTTATGTGATTTTTGTTAGACAAAGTTTCCCAAAAACCTTAAAATTAATGATTTTGCTAGATAATCTTTAAAGTCTCTTCCAATGTTCTGTGATTCTCTGAAAGTATCTCATTAAAATAACATAAATAATATATAAAATAATACATAAAAGTGCTTTGGAAGCAGAAGATCTATTATATAATAATGGACTTAGAAGCTACAACATAATTATATTGTTAGGTTTGATAGCTTTACTAGAACAGTTTGTCCAAAGCCATATTTTTAATATTAATATATGAAACATTCTTAGAAGAGAGTTTTAAGTTTTATTACTATAAATGTGTTACAGATCAACCACGCACGTTGTATTGCCCACGGCACGGAGAAGAGCCAATACACTGAGACAGTTGGAGTTGTAGCAGAAAAAGCTGCATATGGCATAGCGCCAAGTGAGGAGACAGGAGGAATTTCTCAAATCTGTATCCCTGAGAATTTGGGAGAAAGGGTTTTTAAAGATAGTTTGGCAGGCAAAGGGCTAGGCAATTGGATCTGCTAAGTGGCTGGGATCAGGGTGGAAAAAATTGTCTTCATGTGTTGAGTTTCAGTCCCCCCTTTAACAGAATAAATCTCATTGCAGAGTTGTATTGTAGTTAAAGGATCCATTCACTGACCACTGTTCTCCTGATCCCAGGGAGTAATGTGGCCAGTTTTGCAAAGAAAAACTGTTTGCAGGTCAATGGGAAAAACCTGAAGGACTTACAATTTTCGAGAAATCATCCCAGCGGGCTACCTTCTGGTATGGCGGATGCCGGCTCCCCCATATTGTTGTTTATTCTGTTACAAATTTGTCTCCAGCTCCCAAAAGAGAGTCTTCGGTAGTTTGTAGGGACACCCAGTCTGCTGGATTGGACCCAAGTCAAACTTTCCATTTACTTGCCCTGATAGGAAGCCCAAAGTGTCAGAGAGAAAACAGTACAATAGGTGTAAGTGCAGCCAATACAGTGAGATAGCCGAAGTTTCAACAGAGAGAGAGCTTAATACCGCAGAGCGCCAAGCGAGGAGATGGATCTCCCCTGCTGCAACCCCGGCTGTATTGGCTCTTCTCTGTGCAGCGGGCAATACAACTCGGTTGGGCTGTAACAAATGGATATATGAAATTTGGTAGATTTTCCATGCTTTTAATTAAAATTTCTTTGAAGCAGTCTACGGTTTTCATATATGCTCTGATTTGCTTTCTCATTCCAGAAACTTGTCAAAACTGGAGAAAACAATTGGTCTCTGCCTGAACTGGTACATGCTGTGGTCCTACTGACACATTATCATGCTTTGGCAAGCTTTGTTTTTGGTAGTGGTATCAATCCAGAGAGAGATCCAGAAATCTCCAATGGATTCAGGCTAATATCAGTCAACAATTTCTGCGTTTGTGATCTTGCAAATGATAACAGCATAGAGAATGCATCCCTTACAGGCAGCAACTATGGGGTTAGTTTTCTTAACTGTTTTTCTTTACTATTTTTGCTTTAAACTTCTTAATGTTAAAAATGCCTAGAGAGAATTTATTCTCTGATTAGACAGGATATTATATACTTGAAGTATTTTTGCATAATTTTTAATACTGTAAAAATTTAACCAGTACTTAAAGTTCTGATTTGTCTTAAAAAGGCTTTTAAAGCAAATATGTATCATTACAAATTATAAAGACTAAACAATGATGCATTCTAGTAAACATAGGCTTTTAATGTTATACCTTTTGCATAGCAGGTCCCAGAAAAATGTGTCTATGTCTATAAGACACTGGAACGACCAATAGAAAACGTATCTTATTAGAGCAGACTGTAGAAAATTTGAGGCTGCCTCATTTTTAATAACCTATAATTTAATATATACCAAATGCTAGAATTCTAGATTTAATACATATATATACTTATAAACTTTTTATAATTATAACTGAAGCAAAAATACCATACTTCTGAAAATGTTTGACTGTGTCATATGATTCTCTCTGGAGTTAGTGCAAAGCCCACTTAGGAACTTAATAACTGTGCCTGTGCCTCTGTCCATAAGTGACACTGGGAGATGGAGACATTTACTGGAACAATTTTTAATATTAATAGCATCCAACATTATCTTATCTGGTTCCAGATTGTGGATTCTCTAAGTGAACTAGAGGCCTTAATGGAAAGAATGAAAAGGCTTCAAGAAGAAAGGGATGATGAAGAAGCATCTCAGGAAGAAATGACCACTCGTTTTGAGAAGGAGAAGAAAGAAAGTCTTTTTGTGGTCTCTGGAGATACTTTTCATTCATTTCCTCATTCAGGTGCTTTTGTTCACTTCTTTGCCTTATAGTTGTTCTTAGAACCCTGACAGAACGACCTTCAGTATTTTCCATATGGATATGTAAAAATGATTCTACTACCATCTTCCTTTTATTTAGTTTTCCTCCTCTACCTTCCCCTAATTCTATTGCTTTCCTCCTTAGGCTAGTGCATCTTTGGATGTATTTCAGGCCCAGTTAAGAGAAACTTTCAGCTCTGTGGTCTATATTCTATCCTTGAAAAAATGTTATTCGAAGCAGACCAATGGCTTATAAAGTTAGATAGGAATATTTAATTCATCCTACTTTTGTGATTTTTTAAAATGATAAGTGAAATCTTGTTTCAATAGATATAATTTTTAAAAAAATATCTTTGTCTTTTTTGTGGGTAGGGTGTGTGTGGGAGGATTATTCTCACACTGCTGCTTTTCCAGATTAGTTCTAAAATTACATTGCACTTGCATTTGCATTTCTTTGGAATTCTATAAAATGTATTATTTAGGTCATTTTCTTAGATTGAATTTGGAGGAATTCATTCTGTATTAAAAGCTAGGAATCTTTGCTCTAGTTTCAAAAACATAGTTATTCTAATACTCTAAGAGACTTTGAAATGGAAAGGGAACTTTTCAATTACAACTAAAAAAGATATTGAACACCACATAGTAAATGCTATTAAAATAGCATAGACTCGATACAAAGCTTAAACCCTTCAAAAGTCATCAATTTACAGAACATTTCTTTTTAAAATACAATTCCATTGGTTTAAAAGAGACCTTCAAAATTACTTTATTGTCAGTCTTGGTCAGATGCAGTGGCTTACGCCTGTAATCCTAGCACTCTGGAAGGCTGAGGTGGGAGGATTACTTGAGGCCAGGAGTTCGAGAGCAGCCTGAGCAAGAGTAAGACCCCATCTCTACCAAAAAAAAAAAAAAAAGACTAGTCAGTTTCATAAATTCTGAGAATTGTTTTAGCTGTAACTTGTTTGTTAATGTTAAACATAACATGGACCAGTAGCTCTCAGTTTTACCAAGAACAAGAACCCCTTTTATCATTTCCCTTAATGATCTTTTTTATAAAAAATTTTATCTACCAAATTGGGTAACTAATTTAACCCATTTAATTAATATCATCCATTGAAGACAACTATAACTAAAATCGGACCCTCTTATCAGCAGGAAATTCCAAATAAAGAAACTTGGTGTTTTAGTTACTGGTTTAATATCATTCTGCAAACATTTATTGAGTACCCCATATAGTCTCAGCACTGTGGTAGGTACTAAGGTTTTAAAGCTAAATAAAACATGATTCCTGCCCTCAGGGAACTCTCATGCTAGTGGGAGGGAAATAATTATAATACCTAACAGAATTTAAAAGATGTATAAGCCTATAAAAGGGCTTATAGGCTTGTTGGGGGAATGGAGTGGACAGAAGCAGGGCCTAGAGGAAGAACTCCTGCAGCCCTTGGCTCTAAGGTAGGTCTTAACAGACTTGAGCATGGCAAAGCCAGGCAATGGCTGGGAGGTACAAGAGAATGTGGTAAACAGCATCCAGGTCCAAGCATAGGCACAGTGATGAGGAAACAGGATGCTAGGTACAGGAGCCAAATGGTTAGAAAGACATCTGTAACCTTAAGGAACATGTGTCCTGCATATTTGGGACATTCTGAGCTGAGATGTCTGTAAAACATCCACTCTGGAAATGTCTAGCACAGAACCTCTCAAACTTTGATGTTCTTATGAGTCACTTGGGGCATCTTGTTGAGATGCAGATGTTGAGTCAGGCAGTTTAGGGTAGGGCCTCGGAAGCTACATTTCCATTGAACCTCCATGTGATGCAGTGCTGCTAGTCTGCAAACCACATTTGGAATAGCCAGGGTATAGCAGAGAGGTTTTTAAGCTCAAGGTAAAATTTTGAAAGTGATCAGTATATAACTGGGAGCAGAAATCAAAAGAGTTGATCATAAAAATCATCCAGAGAAAACAAGTGAGGGCAAATGAAAATGATGAGCCTAGGGTGAACCTTCTAGGTAAACCAGTATTTTAAAATGTAATCATTTTTGTTAGGGTTAGTTCTATCTATTTGCTTTCAGACGCTAATTTTTAAGAGCTTCATTAAGATCACTAGAGCTCAAAGGATATAAATGTTTTATTTCTTTTAGGTCTTTTGAAATATTGAAAATATATTTTGGATTCCAGTCTCTATCTTCTTGGATTCTTGAGCAGGGACTACTGCCTTTAAATATAAATTTATACTAGCAAGTTTTGGATCCTAGCCAAAAATTTTGTTCTAATTTTAATAGAAGAGGCCATATCATGTATAAATCATTCAAGGAAATAATTTCATTATATGTGTTTTTTACTCTTGGCCATTGTCATACTAAATTTGCTAGCTACACAAAGAAAATATAGAAAAAAACGATTCACTACAGCAGCTAATTATTTTTATAGACTTACCATGTTTTAAACTAGAAATAGGAATTTATTTTTTCCTATAAAAAATTTCTTAGTTTGATTGACCAATATGATAAAGCACCCCAGATTCTATGTAGGGATTCAAAGAATAATTTTTCTTTTGAAGAAAATAAATCTTTAAAGTGTTTTATAGAGTTCACATGCTGTAGCTTGGTAACAGGGTTAACTAGCTTTTTATTTATTTATTTTTTGTTTGTTTGTTGTTTAAGTTAGAAAGGTATTCAATTCCATTATTTTCTCTATTATGTTAGTAGCTACTTCTTAGGGACAGGAGAATGCAGATAATGAGCAAAATGCTATTTCCTTTGAATACAGACTTTGAAATATTTGTTTAGATAGAATTAAAACTATTGTTTTAGATTTGTTGATCAGAGTACTAATTTTAACTTCTTAAGACAAATTTAGGAAAAAAAATTTGTGGATTGAGGGACCTTTGTACATTTCTTTTCGTGTGCAAAATTGTCTAGAAAACAGGTCCTAATTAACTCCTAATTTTAAATTAATACATAGAGTTTTTCCTAGGATCAATGCTCTTATTTGGTTAATTATTCACTTTTTATTGTTAATTTTAAGATGTTTAAAAATCAGACAACTTGAAAATGTATATAAGCAAACAGAAACTAACATCAAAGGCAAAGGAACCAAGTATGTAATACTCAACTCCAGTATCAATATTTGCCAAATGTAACCACCTGGTTGTACAGTATGGAGGGAAAAATCACTTCCAGAGAGACACTGCTCTGCAGAGTTTCGTTACTCACTGTTCTTGGTTTGATTTTACTTTGCAACCCACAAAACTCTTAGTTTTCATAGCAGCCTTGGCAATTGCTACTACATTTTTTTTCTTAATTTCTATTGAGTATTATGTAATGGACCGAAAGAAGGGAAGTATATGCTAGTTTGTAAACATTAAGAGCTAGTGCATTGACAATGCCATCTTAAAAGTGTTTCTATTCACCTGAATAGAGTGCTGGAGCACACGGGGAAGACAAAGTGGTTGTAGAACTGGACTGGAGAAAAGCCTAAAAATGTCTCTTCAGAGAACTGAAAGTCGCTTAAAAGCTTCAGATCAGTTCAAGTAATTTAATGTTTAGAAGTTTTCCATATCATTTTATACCAATCCACATTGTATTACTTATTGACACTTAGTACTGACAATGGTATTAGTAACTTACAGTCGATATTTCTTTTGATATTAATGAAACAAAGAAAAAATAGATACTAAGTGTATAGCATAGTACTTGGTATATAGTAAGTCCTCAATAAATGCCAGTTTGTTCTTGTTAGAGAATAAACTTAGGTAAGAATTTTAATAATATACATACAAATTGGGTAGTCTGGGCACATCTTTCCTACCATTTTCAAGCACCCCAGTTGGTCTACAGCAGCAACATAAAGAAAGATAAAAACTTCTGAGAAAAGAATATTGTTAGGATTTTCATGAAATAGCAAAGATTAAAGATAACGAAGTATTACTAGTCTTCAGGTATTTCTTTTGGAAGGATTACCAAATGTTTTTTAAGCCTCTGAAGATTTTGTGCAGTTAAGAAGTATAGTTTTTATTATGCCATAATATTGTTTTATTAGCTATTTATTTTGTATTTATTTATTATTTATTAAATGTCAAACTTAATACTTGTTAAGAAAATATTGTTCCTTGCATGGGAAGAGCTAATTTTTTTTTGAGAAATATATGTTCATTTTCTAGAATAGAAGTAGTAAATAAAGCTTGTTCATTCCCTTTAAATGGTTAAAATCAGGAAAAAATAATTATTTAATATAAAGACAAGACTAACCTAAAATAAAAAATGAATTCAAAGAGAATTATTTTTACCAAAATTAATATTCATTGGACATTTGAAAATTTTCAGTGGTGAATTTTTTTTGTAGCATCAAATGTGCAGAAGTCAGCTGTCTTAAAATGTTATCATTGCCTTCCTGTCTTCCTGAATGCTACTTTGGTAATATTCTAATCACAGTCTAATTAGTACATTGTTTACTCCATATGTTGTGTACTTTTTTGTTTTCATGTACACAGAAAGGTACACATATCTTAGGTGTTAATCTCAGTGAATGCTCACAAACTGAACCCTCCCATTTAACTAGCACCTTCCTTAAATTAAGGTGATGATAGTGGCATCCAAACGCCTGCTTCCTGATCCTTCTCCCTGTGTGCTTTAAAAAGCTCAAAGGGAACTATGTTGAACTGATTTTTACTGTGACTATGTCCAGATGAAACACCATGTAATTTTAACAAATTTTATCTTAGAGTTAAACTCAAAGTTGTCTTTATCTTTATCTCTTCTCTTTCCCTACTTGCTACTTCATTCCCCAGGAGAAATAAAAAAAATATTTAAGCTTTATACTCACAGGTCTATCCTATCTTCCATTTCCAAGTTAGTAAAACTATTGTATTGATTTTTTGCTACTACTGCTTAGATATTTGAATCTAGTTAGTTTTTTACCTGGAAATCTACAAATAAATGGTAAGATTGCCAGTATTTGGTAATGAAATTGTACGCAAAACTTTAGCAGTAGATACAGTAAATGAAGTTAAGCCATGGAGTCAATATCATCACTTTAGAAATCCATGGAAAAGATAAAACATGGAAGAAAATGGATTTCACTTTTGTTGTCTTAACTATGTACAGTATCCTTAACACTAGGTTGTTCATTATTCTCTGTAGATTTTGAGGATGACATGATTGTAACATCTGATGTATCTCGATATATCGAAGACCCTGGTTTTGGGTATGAAGACTTTGCTAGACGAGGGGAAGAGCATTTGCCAACATTCCGAGCTCAGGTATGAGATGTCTTTAATTCAGAGACACTAGAACATACTGTCATTTTAACGGTTAAATATTGAAATGTAAATAAATTGACTTCTAAAGAAATGGACAGATTTTTTTAGATAGGATCTGTAAATCTTTTTATTTAATCTAGTTTTCATCTTAGTCTAATTTGAGGTCCCAATAGATGGATAATTAGTTTAATATTTTCCCCCTAAGAAGGCAAAAGTAAACTATCTGCTTTATTGAGTTATTTGCATTATATCATGATAGTTGTATATTAGTTCATACCATTCTTGGAGGGGAGCAGGGAGGAAATCAAGTGATATGGTCACATTTATAAGCAAAAAGGCATTTAGTAATAAGATCATACACTAGTAGTTATGGGCTTAAGCCCTAGCCCTACCTCCACCCCTAGAAAATAGCCACAATAGTCACATGACTTCTTAAGAGGGTATAAGATTGAATTAAGACAAACTCCTTCATGTTTGTTTTAGATGATCTGCTAACTGTCCAAGTCTCTGAATAGGTTTGGTCACATAGGAATAGTCCAAGATCTCCTGGGGTCCTTCCAGGTAAGAGCATAGTGTGCATACTACCTGACCGTAGGAGGTGGCCATAGTTCATTACCAATGTGCCAAACTCTGGACCCTGTGAGGAAACATCCTAGCACATTGATCTCCAAACTGATGTTGGCAAAGCCTTAGTAAAGTTTCAAACCTAGAAACTAAATTAGAAATATTTGTACTTATTTGCTTCAGTAATTATATTTAATAAAAACAGAGTTTAAATGGAGAATGCCCACTTTGCAACTGGATTCATTTTATTCTTTTAGGACTATACTTGGGAAAATCATGGGTTCTCCCTGGTGAACAGACTTTATTCTGACATTGGACATCTTCTTGATGAAAAGTTTCGGATGGTCTACAATCTCACATACAACACTATGGCCACCCATGAGGATGTTGACACAACCATGCTACGCAGAGCTTTATTTAACTATGTTCACTGTATGTTTGGAATCAGGTATGTTCATTATATAGACAGTTTTATACATTTCTAAATGAAAATTCTGGCATAAGTCTTATTTACATCCTGTTTAGGAGTATATGATTCTGGGGCAAAGTATTACCTGTGGACTTCTGATTTAAAAATTTAATTTCTTTTTATAGAGAAGCATTTTTCTTTAAGTGTTGTGAATTTTAACATTGATGAACATATAAATACAGTAGTAAGAATTTACTAAGGAAGGAAAAAAGCATCAGCAATCATTGGGGGGCAGGATACAATCAGACTAAATTTGAGAATTCTTTCTGGAAGAATAGGTGAGTTTTTAAAAAGACATGTATTGTGTCCCTTTAGATCACTGTAATAAATTCTGACTTGTTTAGTTAGTTTGTTTTTTAAAATTCATTTTTAAAAAATGGTAATAGGTTATAAACAAAACTAGAATAGATTTTGCCTTCATAAGGCTTATATAGTTCATACAAGAACAATGAAATGAAATATATATCAGCCACTATAAATTAGTGGCCTCTAAATTTAGAAAATTAGCCTTGAGGGGACAGTGAGTAAATGAGTGAACCTGAACAATCTAATCAAGAAAGCTGCATTTGGAGAACACGCCTTGTTGAGCTGGGTTTTGAAGGCTTTTATGGAGATAGATTTGCAGACAGAGAAAATTTTCAGTTACGAATACATTTAACTTGACTGTATACTATATCCCTTTCTGATATATACCAGAAAGCCTTTATGGGGTAGAATTCGAAGTCAATCTATTAAGCAAAGTATTTTCTGTAATTTTAACTAAAAAACTCTAAAATTTCCTGATAAATCAACTAATAATACAATATTCTAAAAGATACTATTATGGCAGTATTAATAACTGAGCTATTTGTCCATTTACCATCCTAGACAATAAGTTATCAAAGAATCATCATATTTTAAAACACATATATATATTGTACCTACATATAAGAAAAATAAATACTAATAGAGTTTAATTTAAATATAATAAATATTTATTATCTGCAAGGCAACAAATGTGGTGATTATATGAATTTATCTGTTGGGTGCTACAAAATAGAGCTTATATAAAATCATCAAGATACTTTTTTAAACTAAGCATTACATTTGGGTTAAAAGTTAACTGAAAATATATTATAAAAGAGAAATTCCGCAAGCTCCTGATATCACAATTACCCACTTGTCTGCGTCTGTGCCCGCTGACTCTGCTGTCTCTTCTGTCTCTGCTGTTATTTCTGTCTATGCTGCTATGCACTTATGCACAAAATCCCATCTCTCATCTTCTAAAGATCTCTGTTCTAGCAATTCTTTCTTCTCTCTCCTGTATAATCAGCTTTACTCTATTGAGTCTTTCCCATTAGTGTAGAAACATGGTGTTATTTCTCCAATCTTTAAAGAAAATCCTGGCTTCATCCTTCTTTTCCCTCTGGCTATGGCCTCATTTCTTTGCATCCGTGTATAGCAAATCTCTTTGAAAAAATTTTGTATATTTGCCATCACCATTTTCTCGTCTCCCATTCTCTCATCTCCCATTCTCTCTTGAACCCACTTAAAGTATCAGGCTTTTACCCCTACCAACCAATAAACTGCTCTTATTGAGGTTGCCAATGACCTCCATATATTAATAGTTACTTCCAGTGGCCAGTTCTCAGCTATCATCCTATTTGACTATTCAGTAGCATTGGACACAATGATTACTCCCTCTTCCCTGAAATATTTGTCTCCTGCCTCAGGGCCTTTACACTTGCTTCTTTACCACCTTCTGGTATTTACTCACTCAAATGTCAACCTCTCAGAGAAGCCTTCCTGCCTACCCTATTTAAAATCACAACTCCTCTCCTCCAAGACCACAGTTCCATTTTCTCTCCATAGCAATTATTACCATATAATATACTATATGTTCATCTTTTTAATTTTTTCCTTTTTTCTTCAATAGAATTTAAGCTCTATGAAACCAGGGATTTTTCTCTATTTTGGGGGTGCACTAGAAGGGTGCATGGCACATAATAGGCACTCAATAAATATTTGTTAGATATCTCTGGAGACATGGTGTCATGAAAATAAATAAATAAATATTTATTAGATAAATTAACTAATGAGCTTTTGGTATTTAATTACCAGACAATAAATGTCTCTTGATACACCTTTAGAAATTAAAAATTTTGCTTTGTCATTATAAAGCTGTTGTCATATTGCTCATAGGTATGATGATTATGATTATGGAGAAGTTAATCAATTACTTGAACGAAGCCTGAAGGTTTACATTAAGACAGTGACCTGCTATCCTGAGAGAACTACAAAGCGCATGTATGATAGTTACTGGCGGCAGTTCAAACACTCAGAAAAGGTAAGTATTTCATGATTAAGCATTATACCATAGGCCAATGTTCATGATGAGAAGTAATGATGCCTGTAATCCCGGTGCTTTGGGAGGCAAAGGCAGAAGGATAACTTGAGACCAGGAGGAAACATTAAATTAAAACCTAATAAATGTTAAGGATCTTTCCTAACGTCATCGTATAAGAGCTGGCCTTAAGTCCTACATCTTTTAACTATTAAGTCCAAAAATCTCCTTTATACCACGGTTTCCAAGCTTAAAAGTAAGAAAAAATTTTTAGGGTCCTAACATTCACTTATTAACTGTATGACCTTAGCAGAGAATGTTATGGCCTCAGTACCTAACAAATTTTTGAAGTCTCAGAACCAACTACACATCAGGTAAAATACCCATTTTACCTCCAGCATCTCTTCTTGATGGATCTTTATGCCCTATGTATATGTTTTGCAAGATTTTCTTCCTTTTCTAGATTGTATCTAGAAATTCTTTTTACTCATCAAGAGAATATATCTAACAATATATCCAACCTAGGAAATATGTCAAAATAATTTAAATATAATATTATAACATATTTTTACAGTAAATTTTGAAAAATTGTGGTTATTTATGTTAGCCTATCAGCTGATGTGTATCCCCAAAAGAAGTGCTCTTCAAAGTTTTATCTAAAGGACTCTAGGGAAGCTATGCATATCTAACGAGTATCAAACACTGATTAGAAACTGCTTTACGCATCAGATTTTCACATTAGTATCTTTCAAGTAAACACTAGCAAATTTTTTAAAACCATTCCACACGATAAGCATAAGCTGTAAGAAATGTAGGGCTCATTTTTAGCCATGTAAAATTTTACAACTAGAAGGAAGTATAATTTTTAGGAAAATTATAATTTATAAAAATTAATTTTATTTTATAATACAAAAGGTTGATTGGCCTTATGAAACTCATTTTCTAACAAAATTATGGGAATTCTTTTAGATTTTATAGGTCATTTTTACTGGTTGCAGGGCCATTTCTTACAAGCACAGATTTGAGTGTTATGTCATGAATGTGCCTAAATATGCCCAGGCATGTATGTGTGTATATTGTCTATATACACACAAAAAAACTTTTGTGAATGTCTGACATGTGAAAAAAATGAAACTTTTTTTAGTTGTTTATAACGGTTGCTAAACTGATAACATTTTCATTTCTAGGTTCATGTAAATCTACTTTTAATGGAAGCACGGATGCAAGCTGAACTTCTTTATGCTCTTCGTGCCATAACTCGGCATTTGACCTGAAGCTCACCCAAGGAAAATGTCATATATGTGTAAAGACCTTTCACATAAGATATACATCAGAAGCTGTTTGTGATATAGCATCAAAAATTATTCAATTCTCTAGTGTCAAAGTTTAGCCGTTTTTGTTTTGTTTTTTTTTGTTTTTTTTTTTGCGGCTGTAATGTGCAATGATGTGTTTTATTTTTCTTGATGCTTAACATTACTAACAATTGCAAAAATAATACTGAGGAGCACTACTTTGCATTGTTTATAGTTGGAGTTTTGGATACTGATCATAAATCATGAACCTGGTTTGTTAATGCTTAACTTCAGCGCTTTTGGGTTTTGTATGTACATGTATCTTTTTCTTTCTCTCTTTTTTTTTTTAAGTAAGGAAAAGCGCTTACAATCTGCTCAAGCAGTTGTTTTTCAGATATTGAAATTCAGCAAAGAATGACCTCTTCTGGCCATTCTAAAATTTTAATGTTGTGTCCTAAATCTGGTAGAGGAAAAGCATGCGCTGTTGAACCAAGCTGCTCACTGGACACTCTTGTGTCCCCAGGAGATTATTTGTCAGGCACTGTTTTTTTTTTTTTTTTTTTTGGTTTGTTCGTTTTTTTTGTTTGTTTTGTTTTTTTACTGCTATTGGCGATAACGTGAAATGTGATACAGCCATTGTCCATAATTTAATGTGAAATTAATCATAATGAATTCTATAGCATGCTACTGAAATGCCAAATTCAACTATTTTCTTTCTCTTTGAAAACAGAAAAGTTTCGGTTTTCCATATCAGATGTATATATTAAAAGTGGAATTATGCACAATCCTTTCTATCACTGACAGTAATCTTCAGTCATCTTAAATAATCAGTGCTCACAGTGCTGCTTAGTTCATTTAGTTGGCACATATAAACCTGTACCCACACAAGACTGACCAAAAATTTTCTTTGCACATGTTTCCTTTTTCATAGCTATTCCTATATTTCAGTAAGCAAAGGAAGGTTAATATGTCTGTATTTCTCCCTGTTAGGCTTTTAGAAATTATTTTCCATGATTTTTCTTCTTATAATAAGTTAAACAGTTTATTATTCAAAGTTAAAAATTGCATTTCTATGCATTAATGTGATTGAACAACAACAAAAGAGTGCAATATGTTAAATACTCAATTAAACTTTCCCCCATCATGTCACTGCAGAAGTGTCCTTTTAAACAGAGCCATAAAGAAATTTTGTTCAAATTTCTTTATTGCACAAGGCTTTTTTCAGTTTTACCTTACTGGGGTTGAACAATGTTCCTTTCATAATGCCAAAGCATTCCCTTCCCCAGAAAAATCTCTTTGGACAACTGGTTTAAAAAAGATATCAAGTCTTAGGGGAGGAATAATCGGCCAAAAGGTCACATTTTTGCATTGGTTTCTGTTGCTTGGTTAGACTATCTTCAGAGAGCACAACATTATGTGTTTATAGCTTTAATTTGTATTATGTTAATGAACCAGTGAAGTGCCTAAAGAGATGCTTACAACTATCCAGTAGGACACAACTGCACTGCTTTTTAAACACTTTTTGGTTAATTAAGGGTGACTTGAATTTTACACATACATGCTAATTTTTTTTAAAAAATCCAATTTTTTTCATAGTAAATAATATAGTAAAATTTTCCGTTATAGTTCCCATAAAGACTTTATTTTAGACTTACTTGTTATATAGGACTTAACTTTTTTCTCTCATGAAAGAATTGTGAACTAGTGTTTTGTTAAATCATTTTTCTCTTCCATTTATCATCCTTTTCTGGTACAATACATTAGGTTGCTTTCCTTTAGATTTTGTTCCAGATAAGAAAACAGAGATGATTATAAACCTATTAACATAAGGTAGTTCTGCATTTTTGGATTCCAGGATCTTGTTTGAAATCATCTTCCATGTGAGGAAAAAATTACTAATATTTTTGAAGACAGGGTGGTTTATTTAAAGAGATTATTCAAAGAACTTGTGCCAGATCTCTTCTGTTTTGTTTATTGCATGTGCCATATGTTGATTTTTATTCAATATCACATTATATAGATATGTGTTAACTATAAAGAAAGTATTTAGGAGAATGGCAAAACACAGATGACAGTGTAAATGTCCATTTGACTTCCCTAACTTTAGAACTTTCAAGTTGAGGATATCTTTTATTCTTGCATTTGTTTTTTTACTAGAATCCTTTCAATTAATAGCCGTATATTTTTGTGCAGGTGAACTGTATTACAGGATGAAAAATGATTTTTATGTATTGAAAAGGAGGAGAAATTCTCACAGAACACCATATGAGCTTTAGACCAAAAGGGGAAACAAGGTTTAAGTAATTAAAATGGCCACTTAGTTTTTTTGGTTTTTTTAGTTTTTTTCCCCAGAAATGTAAGTAGTTGGAATTTAGGTTATGGAAATATTAGTGCCTTTAATAGATTTCTTTCCTAGCAAAGTTTCTTTTTAGCTCAGCATTGATCTATTTCATCAATAATCAGGAAAATAAGTTGACTTGGAACTATAAACAAAAACAAAACAATATGTTTGTGAACCTCAGCGAACCAGCCTAGAAAAATTGACTTCTGAAGGTGCTAAAGCACCTACTAACATGCAGCATGCACAGCATTCCAGGTTGCGAATACCATTTTTTGCTGTTAACACTCTTTATCCAATGCAAACTTGAAATTCTGATGCGGTTTTCCAGGGTGGTATTTTTTCAGAGTATCGAATTTACTACATAGTAATTTATAGTATAGCTTTTTATATTAAAATGTGATATTTTTAAAAAGAGATATCTGGTTCAATTGGTATAATGATGTGATTATACAATATGCTAATCTACACCTTGGTCTCACATTGTGCCAAACTTAAATGTGCAAGTGTACGTGAAAAAAGCACATGTGAATGTGAATTCTTTAATTCCTTATTATGTTAAAATCCGTCTAATAATCCACTGATGTATATGCTTGAATAATGTCTATTTACTTTGGAATTTCAAGCTTTCCAGCTTCAACAGTAATTCTTCATTTCTCAGGTCACCTTAAGAAATACTGAAATATTCTCCCACCTGAAAGTAATCTGTTCTTTAACCCACTTGACTGTGGGCGTGGCCAGGCAGGTGCCTCATTGGATCCTTCAGACAAGGCTCCCTCAGGTGGACTCATGATTATTAGGGAAAAGAGGCTTTTGAGCTGGGTCTGCCTTTTGAACTAAGTACATTGTCCTGTTCTCGGTAGGAATTTGTCCCATTTGGGGTATTTTTAAATAAAAGATGGCTAATGTGGAATCTGGGGCATGGCCTTGGCCTTTATTATGGTCTTAAGCCCAAATAATGGCAGAGAAACACAGGGCTGTTTTGAGAACAGAAAATTCAATGTAAGTTTTATATCAAAATCATAAAATTTGAACCAGAGCTCCTATTTTAATTGTTATAATGTCTCCTAAAGATTTTAAATGCTTCTAAAATCTAATTGATATTATCACAGAGCAGCTTTTTCCTTTTCCACCTTATAAAGTTTTTTTTTAATCCAGAATCTTAGATTTCTATGCCGCAGCAAAATAAAATTATCAACAAATAATTAAAGATCTATACTTAAAATAGTTTACCACTTTTAGTGGAGAGTGCATGCATATATGATGGTAAGATTCTTTTAAACTCTAAGGACAATTCATCAGGGAAAAAAATAAATTTCAGTACATGTTATAAAAATGATTTGCACTGATTGATAGCAAAATGAGGTTTTTTGTTTTGTTTTATGTTATGTTTTAAAGGCAATTCTAAATCATTTCTCCAGAAAGCAAGACCTTAAACTCTTCTCTTTATCTAATAGGACTTTTCTTCTTTTATGCAAAGAGATGGTCTTGCATGGAGTAAAATGTATGCAACAGTAATGCTATATAAATAGTATATGAAATTTGCTTAGTAGTACAATTCAATAGCAAACTGAAAGACATGTGGCTCCTCTATTCAGATTGAGTTTTAAGTTACCTAACTTGTATAATCAGAACCTATTCTAGGTGGCCATCATCATAAACTATGTTTCCCTATTATATCCCTCTGGAGACTGAGAATCAAATTAACGAGTCTTTCCTCAAAGCAGTACTGTAACATGAATGTATTTATCTCAGTCAACAGAGCTTAAATGCCCATTTTATGTGGAGCTGATTTCAATGCTAATTTGACTTAGTTAGCAGTGTCTGCTCAGGTGAGACCTAGAACAAAAATAGCTGGGGCGAAATGGATATTAGAGGCATAGGTATATGTCAAAGCAGAGCCCTATGAGGAAGGAAAAGTTTTGAAAGAATACATGGAACATAAAGCTGAGAATGTGGCTGTCCTCAGCATCGTACACCTAACATAAAGGAAACATTTCCCACGTGGGAGCTCTTACCTGCATTCAGTCCACCCTTTCCTGCCTGCTTTCTCTTCCTCCAAGTGCCTCAACCTCTACATGCTCACTCTCCTTCCCCTCCCTCAGCCCATCTTGGTCTGAACGCCTTTCACTCCAAACCAAACATCACCAGCCACCTGCTGATAGTCACCAGCATTTATTTTTCTGAGTTACTTTTTATCCATTCATTAAGAATTTGGCTTTGTCCCAACTTCTTCTAAATCCCTCAGTCATCCAGCTATATTTTGCCTAACCTTTGCCCTAGACACCCTACCAGATGTTACACAGCATCAAGTGTAAATCTCGTCCACCCCATACTATTCTACCCTTTTCCCAGCTGCCAAAATATCTTGCTCTCTCCTCTACCTCATCCCCAAAGAGCCTATAAATTCAGAGTATCCAACCTTTTCATGGATTCACTCTCCATTGTTCAGTAATACTACTTCCATATTTTAAATAAATCATAAAAGATTTTTGCCTTCTATCAAAGTAGGAATCTTTATATTTATACATGATACAAAAGTTGAACTATTTCTACCATGCAGAATTTAGCATTTAGCAGGATTTTAAAGTGATTGAATTGCCATCCTAACTTGGATCTATATTAGGTAATGAATATTGGTGTTAATCCAAGCTATTTGAATGTAAAGTTAAAATTTTCCAGCAATCCAGATGACCTGTAACCCTTGAGTGGGAACAGGAAATTTCTAGCATACAAATGGGGTGATGTTTCAGACGTTTGTTTTATTGGTGTTGTTTAGTCCTTGAAATGCATTTCTAATAGAAGGACATGTGATAAAGGGTGCTTAGATGGTCCAACTGGATCACAGAAGCCCATTTAATTTATAATATAGATAAAATACCACAAAATTGAGTACTTAAAGGTTTGACCAGGCTTTCCTGGGTTAGACTAAGGCTCTAACCCCATTCCTGTCCTGTTCTCATGGGAGAAAAAAATGTTCTATGAGATGAAAAGAGACTGCATTGACTTTGTAATCTCTATTCCCCTAGCTGCACTTCAGGTATACCCAGATAGTATCATTAAGGAAGAGGAAATGCACAAACGAGGAAGACAAAATAGTTCTTCCTTTCCAGCCAGTGTGTACTCAGTGTTGTTCATAGATGTAAAACTATGTCAGTTTCCAACATGGGGCACTGTAGATGGTTGTCTGACCTAAAGATCAACCATCCTGTTTGAAAGTATAGAGTGTTATGAGCTCTGGTGGCATTTGGATGTTTTCCAACCCATTGATGAACAACCCAACCTGACAGCAGTATCCAATAAATGCCTTTAAGGGCCCAGGAATGAACTGATGGCCTAGTTAAGGAGTGAGACTTAGTGGAGACTAAAGCAATGGTTTTTATTAAATCATATGTCGTGAAGTGTTCATTCTAACTTTAATCTAATTATGACTGCACCACCATGAAGTACAGAATTAGAAAAGAAATAATATAGGGGGAAAAAGAGAATGAATATCTGATTCTTCTGAATGCTTGCAGAAATCTTTGAAACAATGCAGTGCATACCATAAGTTAGCCTTTAGAACAAATACCCCATCTTACATTTCATAGGACAGCATCAAACATTAGTAAGTCTAAATATGATAAATATAATTTTTGTTGTGTAAATTTTGCTAAAACAGTCTATTTTCTTGCACCTCTCAAGTTAACCTCTTAAAAACAGAATGTATAATTTCTACAAAAAGAATATCATAGAGGGAGAGAGACTCTCTGGTCTTTAGTGTTAAAATATTTTTCACAAATCCTGATTAGTTAAGTGCATACATTATGACACTTACAGAATAAAACTAATCATACAGCTCTTTCTTAAATTCATTAGTCTTTACAGATTTTTAACTGGCTCTCCCAAGTCTGATAAGGAAGGATCAAAAGGTAGGATAAAGGAAATATATCAGTTGGGCGGCCAAGAAGTTTTCTTTGTAATGTGGAAAGACTATTATCGCCTTTCTGAATTTTGCTGGTTCTCTAAAGTAAAACTAAAGAGTTAAATGGTACCTTTGTTCAGCAAGGAAAGTGATCCAAACTATAATCTAGTACAAATATTTCCTTTGCATTTGTATGTCTTCTCTGGAGAGAAAACACAATTTTCCTCTTCCTCTTTCTCTTCACATTTACTCTTTTCAACCCAAAATATAGACAGAAAGCAAACCACAAGCCAGTTTGGAATCTTCTCAATGCTAATAGAATGGGCACATTCACATACACAGTCTTAGCAAGGTAGTAAAGAACCCTGTCAGGTCAACTTGGAATATGGCCTTGCTACTTGGATTAGCTCCTTCAAACCTGAAAATAACTTTCCTGGTCGTGGAAGAACTGGATGTGTCTTTTAACTTATGAAATAGGATTTGAACTTGAAAACTCTTTTTTTTTTAAATCCTGATTTTGCAGGGCAGCTACATCATGAATGTATATATTAAAACTTTGTAGCTGAATTGCACATGAAATCAGATTGCCAACTTCTTGACTTTCAATTTTAGACATCATTTTATCCTTAAGTTGTGAGCGATATATGTAGCATGCTGTGAAACGTCTATTATAGTTCTTTAATTCATCAGTATTAATACAGAATTATCTTTTGCGTTCTTTGGTACTTTTTATTCAATGTAATCAGAAGCTGTGATGTTTTGCCTTTGTAGTCCTGTGCTTTGTTACTGTAATTTCTTTTTTTTACGAAGCACGTGCTTTGGACTAATGTAAGGCGGATGACGTGATCTTTAAGACTGTTATATATATACATATATATCAGTCTCTTACTCTATAAGGTTTTAAATTAGAATAAGCTTTTATCAAATAGATCATTGATGCAATTTAGGATTCACACAAGTTTCAGTGTCAAATGGCGGTCTCATATTTATACTTCCGATTCTGAAAATAGCAAACTTAACAAACAGCCACTTTAAACTTGTTCTGGCAAACCAGACCCTGCTGTAGATATAGTCTAAGATAGTTAAACATATAAGCCTTTTCAACTCTTAATGCCCTCCACATGAGTCAGCAGTTAAGGAGATTATAGAACCCATGAAAGCTTTTTGTATGTATTACTAGGTTTTATTTTTCTTTCGTTGCTGATTTTACAGTTCTGACTAAAGCTGATCTGAATGGATCAGTTTATGTGTAATATTCTAGTGCTTTAATGCCTTTTTTTTTTTTTGGAGGGATGGGTAATATTATTTGAACAGATGCAGAAGGAACTGTTAGTGAGTCAAGACAAACACATTTGAAATAAAGGAACTGTGTATTAACATGTTAACAACAATTCATAACTGCACTTTTTATGACATTTTGAAAATCTATTTATAGGTACAGAACAATGGGTTTTGTTAAACTGTATCACATTTATACTTGCAGAAATTTATTTCATTGTTATTAGTAGGAATTTTATTGGTTCAATAAAATTGGCAAAACTGAACACTGATCATTTGCTTGCTTTATTTATATTGGAGTAGCATTCTTGTCTAGGCTTGTTTCTGCTTGTATTGAGACGTGCATTCGTAAAGATATATGAATTGTAGGAGTCATTATTTTCACTAATTTTTTCCTGACCCACAGTTTTCTTGTGATTATTTCTTATAATCACTGGATATTGCATTAGTGGAATATTGCAATAGTGTAAGTTGTGCAAAATGTGTAGTTATTACCTTTTAAAATATCACTTGTGATCTCAGCAAAAAGCAAATTAACTTTATTATTATCTCTCATTAACCAAAATAGTAATTAGAATGGGGAAAGGGACATTGAATATGGGGTCAGGGCCTAGATTCAAAAACCTATTTTTTTTCTTATTCTACTAGCTTTGTGACCTTGGAAATAATTTAATCTCTATGATCTTTAATTTCTGTACCACGATGGTGCAGGGGAGGAGTAATACCTACTTGAGATAGTTGTTTAAGAATTAGGTGAAGTGTACTAATGTATTTGAATATATAGCACAGTAATGAGTTTGGAGAATAGTGTGTGGCACTTGAAATAAAGTAGGAAGGAGAATTGATGGGGAGGGGAAGATTATACATATGTAATGTGAAGTGATAGTAAGACTTCCAAGTAGAAATGTAAAATAGGCTTTTGGAAAACAGTAAGGGATGTACACAGTCTTTTGTGCAAGGCTTTCCAAGGAAAGTCCTTACTTTTCATTTCTGTTAACTCGTTCATTACATAAAAATTCATACCAAAGGCAAGCGCTCTTCTTTTGTGCCATGTGTCTAGCTATAATGGTAGGTCAGCAGAAACCAGCTCCTGGCTGATTACTCTGTCTTTTTCAATAATATGCAACCCCTGGGGAAGATAAAGGACAAGGTACAAACTCAGCCAGAAGCCCAGCCCTTCCACAAGCTCTCCCCCAATTCAAAAGCCAGCTTTTTGACACTAGTTCCCTATGAATTTATTAACAACTTTGGGCCTGTTTTTTAAAAAGTAAAACTCCATGTTTATGTGTGTGTGTTGTCCTTTCACATATATGATCTCATTTAATCCTCACAATAACTTTGTAATGAAGATATCTTCATTTTCTAGATGAGGAAATTGATCTTAGAGGGCTTTGCTTGCCTGAGAACTGACACCTAGAATTGGCATGGTGGGGATTGGAACTCCGGTCTCTCTGATATCATTTCTACTGAACTTCACTACCTTAATTCAGCCCACGCTTCTTGCTTAATATATAAATGACCGTGCTATCTACATGATGTTTTACTGAAAAGGAAAAGGATAATCCATACTGCAAAAAACATTAGATAACTTTCCTTTCTGGCTAACTTGTAACCTTTTTAATTTTAAAAAATAGATTTTTTTTCACCCTCCACTGCTAAATGGGCCCTTTGATTTAAAACATAGTCTCTGAGGGGTAGGTTCACAGAACAATAGATAAAATCAGTACCTGTGAATTTAAAGGCTAAAAACTTTTCCCAAGAGAACAATAGGCCTGATCCTAAAGATGACTCAGGAAAGCTTAAAACTGTGTTGCGTTTTTATTTTTAGGACCATTCTACTGCAAATAGTAACTTTCACTATATATTTTTAGGACCATTTTACTGAGAATGGTAACTTTCACTATATGGTGAAATACACTATAGTGAAAGTTACCAATTCAAGTCATCGTTTCTAATGCATGTAACTTTCTCATACGGGCTTCCCTTTGTGTTGACTGAGAGGAAAATCAATCTCAAAAAATGTCTCTTCTCCCATAGTCTCACATACTTGACATGTTTCAAAACACAGGTGTGCCTAAAACTTTCCATAAAACTCTTTAAAAGGAATTTCAGGCAAGAATTCTTAATACTCCCTCTTGCACAGGCCTGCTCCTAAAATAAACATTAAAAAATCCTTCATCTTCACATCAAGGTGAATTTCAGGAAAACTCACCTGGTTACAGTATTTTTTGACACCCATTGACTCTTTTATTTGCTAAGAGGCATGTAGCAGCAGGGCTCTTGGAAGCCACTTCACAATCATCTCTAACTCTTGCACGGGAGCTGTGGCAACCAACTCCACACAGGTTTCAGCTAGATTTTTACAGGTACAGCTCTTGTGGCCCTGGACTGCTTACTTCTGGCTTCCTGCCAGGGCCTTACCTGAGTGCTTGGGGTAGGATGCCAGAGGAAACTGCCTTTCCACTAAACATACACAACCAGAAGGGCAAGGGGTTAATGCTGGTTAACCATGACCAGTGCCTGCTTATTTCATCCCCCAAGCCACAGTTTTGAAATTGAGAGGGCCTGGTGGGATGGGTGGTACCAATCCAGCTCTCTCAGTGGTCCCTCCTTTCCTATTCCACTCCCCTTGTCCTTCACTCCTGCCTCCTCAGTCTCAGACAAACCTTGTCTCAGGCTTTGCTTCCAGGGGAACCCAGGCTAAGACAGAGCACTACATATACGGTAGGGGTTAAGAAAGTAGATCCTAGAATAACTTCAAATCTCCACTGTTGCTAACTATCTGGCCTTGAACAAGTTATTTAATCTTGTGGTTCCTCAATTTCCTCATCTGTAAAATGCAGAAAATAGTAATTAGAAAGAAGACCTTGTCCTTAAGAAGGGGGAAATGTGGGTAGAAAGACAGTAAGACAGGCCTTGGTTTGACATCATACAATACAGAAAATGAAAAGATAATAGCTTGTACGGGGGTCATAAAAAGAGCCACCATTTATCAAGGACCTTATTAATGTTAGGAACTTTAAATGCAGTATTTTATTATAATACCTGCAGGTGAGTATTACCTCCATTTTAGAGAGTTAAGAAAAATAGCTTAGCAAAATTAAGCACCTGTCTAACATCAAACAATAAGCGAATGGTAGAACCGTTCTCAAATTTGTCTGAGCTTAGTTGCCTTTTTTTCCCTCTATGCCACATAAAGAGGAAACGAGTGCATTTTTGTTTGGTGTCATCAGCGAAGGCTTTTCAAACAGGTAATATTTAGACAGACACTTAAAGGATTGTTAAGATTCGGATTTGCAGAGACTAAAGACATCACATTGTAGATAGAAGAGTCGGAACAAAAATCCAGAGTGTGGTGTTCAGGGCATATGTGTGGAACTTCACATTAGAAGATGAATTTGGAAAGTGTAATTTGGTCAAACTGTGCAGAGTGTAATGGTTATAAACTAAAATATTTGTATTTATTCATTTGGAAAAAGAGGTGAAAGCCAGATTAAGGCAGATTCACGTGGAGCCATTTTCAATGGGTCTTTAGCACAATGATGTGTCCTACTTTGAAACAACAGCATCTCCTTGACAACCAGAGTAGCACGGAAACAAGATCTTCAAGGTAAAAATAATGCCTTCTTTGAGCATTTGGGAATTTTCCCAATATCTTAAATAAACTCCTGAATACTTCTGCACGTCCCACTTGATGATTACACCAGGCTATCATGGGTAAAGTGCAAGATACTCAAACCAAACTCTTGACATGCAAGGCCTTACCTTCTCATGTATGTGCACACACACTCTTCTGATGCCCAGGACCAGTATGATAGCCTTCAGAACTCGATGCCTTCTAACTAAGTGGTACATAAACAGGTAAAGTTTAGGTACTGTATGTAGTTGATTGTTTGCACAAATGACCACAATTTCTGTCCTCCCTGCATCCCCATTCTTTGGAATGTGACTTCACAACTTTTGCATCAAGAGGTAGAGTCTATTTCCCCACTTCCTTGAATCTGGGCTCATCTGTGACTTGGGTTGGCCAATAGAATGCAGGAGAATTGGCATTGTACAAGCTGCAGATCTAGGCTTTCAGAGACCTTGCATGCTTACTCTCTCTCTCTTTCTCTCTCGCTCAGAACCCTGCCATACCTGGGCTAGCCCGCTGGAGAATAAGCCACCTGAAGCAAGCTAAGTTGTCCCAGGTGTTCTGGCTAAGGCCTCAGATGTGAGAAAGCCCATCCAAGACCACTAAAGTCAGCTAGCCTACCTAGAACTGACTGCAGACTCATGAAAATGCCTTGTCCAGCCCACTTTAGATCAGCAGAATCATCCAATCTACCCACCGATTCATGGGCAAAACTCAGTATTTATTGTTGTGCACCATTGAGGTTTTCTGGTTGAGTGTTACACAGAACAGCATTGTTGCAGCAATAGAAAACTTACAGAATGTAAGTCCTGGAAGTGGCCAGTGCTTCGTTTATAGAAAATCTGCATTAGGAAATTTCTTCCTTATATTACTGTCTATTAACAATAGCCTTGCATAGTTTAGGGATTTTTACTTATACCTCTAAACCAGAGTCAATGTAGTTGGCAACTTAATAATCAGCCCTTTGCTCATCCCTGTCCTCAGAATGTCCATCTTTGTGGGGTTGAAATATATCACATTCCCGTTAAGTTTGTTCTTAGGTCTTTACACTTAATATTTTGTATCCTAAGCATGACTGTACTCATAACTGGACTGGTTAGGTTAGGACAGAAATACTCAAACTTTAGAGTATAAGAATCACTGAATGTGATGGTTGATTTGGGGTGTCAACTTGACTGGGTTAAGAGATACCCAGGTAGCAGGTAAAGCATTAATCTAAGTGCTTCAGTGGGCACTGCGTCTATCCTTCTGCTAAAAGAGAAACCCAGATGCTTTGGCATTCATTAGAATGATTGGGCTGGCCCCATGTGTGTCTATGAGGGTGCTTCTGAGGGATTTGCATCTGAGTTGGCAGACGAAGTGGGGAAGATCTGCTGTCAACATTGGCAGGCAGTGTACAATCACCTGGCACCCCAGATGAAACAAAAAGGTGGATAAAGGGAAAATTCTTACTTTCTCTTCTGGAGCTGGGTTACCCTTCTTCTCCTGCCCTCAGATGTCAGAACTCCAGGTTTTCTGACCTATGGACTCTGAGACTCACACCAGCAGCCACTTGGGCTCTCAGGCCTTTGGTCTCAGACTGGGAGTTACACCATTGGCTTCCCTGGTTCTAAGGCCTTCAGACTTGGACTGAGC